GAAAATAGTCGTACAGAAAAAGCTTAAAAGATGCTCGTTCGTAAGGCAAATAGTTTAAACGGAAATAGAAATCCGTGTTTGATGTTATGCTCTGAGGTAAGACATTTTTTCTATGATTATGACAAGTTGAAAAACTTTTTAAATAGACTTTTTTTTTTTTGAATTACCAAAATATTTCACTTTCAATGAGTTTACTGTGCCTGGCTTGGTTTAGCAAAGATCATGTGCTTGGTTTTTTGGTCTTATTTAAACTGTAGTGCAGTCCATACTGCTGTCTATCCACTAAAATGATTGAACATTGCGCTAGGCTTAATGTAATTACCGTGAAGAAAGCTACTACAATACATATTACGTATTGGTCTAAGATTTTTTTTTAATTAACAGCAGCAACTTTTTGGGTAGATTGATGTTGCTCTACGATAATTGTAACAGACTATTATTAATTAATTCGAGGATTGAATGCGTTATTCTTCTTGTATCGGTTTTTAATATAATCATATTTACCAACAGCTATGATGGATTTTCAATTACAGGTACCCAGAGATGATTATCGTTCTTGTCTGTTTGTGCACAGTCTTTGCTTTTATATTTTACCTCATTATTCAGCATTATGCTGCAACAAGAAATAATATTTTTGAAAAACTTAATTGTACTGGCCAAACCAACGCAACACCTTTGACTGAGATAGAAAAACATAATATTTTACGACAAGGTGTCTTAAAATTAGTTTATTTTTTATCATTTTATTGCATTGCTTAAAACTGCAATTTTCTTTTCTGCCGAATGTTCTAAAAATGATTTTTATATTTCTTTATCCTACATATTTTGAACGGATCAAACCAAAAAGTGATATATATTTATATACATACACTTAGCAGAATATACAACAAAAGGAATCTTTCAAGCGGTCATACTGCATGTGTGCGCTTTTTTCTGTGTTGTCTGAGAATGGCAAGACGAAACAAAGTCGGTTTTATTGTAAAAGTTAGGTTAGAATATTCTGAACAATTTTACAAGTTGCAATGGATGAAAAACTAATTGAAAAATTTATGAGTGTGTTTGCGACAACTCGAGCAAAGTTTTCAGATGATTCATACTTCAGGAAAAAGTAGTCAAGATTTTTAATTCTCTTAAAAATACTGTTGACTGATTGAGTTTTGAGTCTTTTACGCGAAAGAGCAGTAAGCAGAAAATTAAATTTCATAAGTGATGACGTTTGTTACGGGCTCTTGAGCTGAAAAGAAGTTTTTTCCGTTATATATAGGCGTCACTAATCAGCTCTGCTTTTTCTTCCCATTGCTCTGGCAAAAAAACACCAAGGTTCTTTCTGGATTTCTAAATTATGGCATTTAGCTTACGCAGAAGAAATGTAGCAGAAGTAGTTTTAATGCTTCTTAATGCTCTGCCAAAGATGTGGGAAGTGGAAGTTTAAAGAGGGGACATAGTCGTTGAAAGTCTTATTTAGATAAGCGTACATTTTAGAATTCTAATAACGAGATCCATTAACTGCTAAAAACTAACGCTCTGTGAAAATGTGAAAACCAAAAACTTGAAAACGCAGCACTGGAAAGCTTGGTGAGAGGGTTTTAACAAATTACCCTTTGGGAGACAATGTTTCAAAGCAGTTTTTAGCGGCACAATATCTTAGATTTCCACCCTTCACTGGCAGCAGAAAAATGGGATGTTATTATCATTGGAAGCGGAATTTCTGGTCTTACGACAGCAGAATTACTAGCAGCGTCCGGCAAGAGAGTACTGGTCTTAGAACAACACGACCGAGCTGGTGGAGCATGCCATAATTTTGAACTGGAGAAGTATGAGTTTGACGTAGGTTAGGATTGTTGTTGTTAGGTTTATCATTATTGTGCAAGACAAGTAAAAAACAGCAATATTACTTTACACGAGTAACTGAGAAGCTTGTTGCTATACTGAATTTTTTTTTGTTGCATATTTTCTTTTGCTGAATTTAGGAGTGCATTATGTCTCACAAATGAAACCAGGAACAGATATCTTTCATATTTGTGCAGCGGTCAGTGATTCTCAGGTAAAATGGAAAGAAATCCCAGACCCTCTTGATACAGTGAGTTTTGTAATTTCTATAGGTATGGTTGGCTACTACTCTGAATACCTCTGAAATTTTTAGATAATTATTGGCCAAAAGAGATACCCTCGAAGTAAAGGAGGTCTTGAGAGTTTTCGTAAACAACTCTGTGAAATGTTTCCACCAGAAAGTGATAATATTGATGCATATTTTAAATATATGTATGTAAGTGCATTTGAATTTGCAAAAAAGCTTCTCACAAAATATGATGATTGGTGAAAATGGTTATTGTATCGTTACTTTTCATACGTTATTTTAAATTCTTTTTATTAAATCTTTTTTCTGTTCTTAACTCTACTGGTAGTTAATCGCTAGCAGTGTGCTTAAGGATTTGAAACTAAATATGAAATTTTAACTAACTTGAAACTTCTTTTTAAATATAAGTAAATTGATATTTTTTATTTTTGCGAATTACATTGAAGACGTCAGGATTTTTAAAGACACATCATGAGCAGCTCTTGTTCCAGGCATGTTTAAAAGAAGTCCCATGGATCTTCAGAGCGAAATTCGCACCTGTGCCCATTGTGAGATTCCTCCTTAAAACTGGGCTCTTTAGCGTATTTTCTAATATTTTCAAAAATATGAAACGAACACTGCTTGAGGTTATGGAAGAGTATGAGCTGACTCCTGACTTACAGACAGTAATCAGCTACTACTTCGTAAACTACGGTTAATAAACTTTACTTAAGGATTGTTTTTTCTCGTCGTATAAGTGTTTGACCGCATAATGTGAATCTTTGAAAATTTCTAATCATTAATTTCACTCGCTTTTCAGCTGCACCACCGAATAGAGCTTCGTTCCTTCAACATTCCCTTTTCTTCCTCGAAAACGGATTTTATCCAGTTGGTGGCTCTAATTCACTCACTTCTAATATCATTCGCTCCATAGAGAAACTAGGTGGGAGAGTCTTGGTTAAGGCTAATGTGAAACGCATTTCTATTAAAAATGATAAGGTTGATGGTAAGCTGTGGTTTTCTTCAGAAACAGTAGTTTAACTTTTGTAAGTTCGTTACATTTGGTTGTTTTTTATTGGCTTCCTCACCAAATTGAAAGATTTTTATCGAATTAACTGAGTAAAACGGTATTGAAGAGTTAGTAAACTCTTATCGGTTAAAGTATTTAGGCGTTTTCGTTGAGCGTAGAGGAGAAGAGAGTTTCATTCCTGCGCCAATGGTCGTATCGACAGCTGCGTTAACTCATGTTTTTAAAGATCTTATACCAAAAACAGTTGCACAAAAGCATAGTGATTTTTTGTTGATTCTGACTGTTGAATTAAAATCTAAATTATGTTTTTCATTATTAGGAAAGGTTTCGCTGGTGATGGCAGTTTTACACACTTAATTAAATCTGCCAGCCCTTTCGTTAGAATATTTTGAAATACATCCCTGTTCCATGAGACAGAGTTTTGGAAATTGATTGAAGTAATTTTTTAGCTATGAAAACCTTCGTTATTCTTCTCCTTCACATTCCTTTACCATTCTTTAATTTTAAGTGATTTATCAAATGGCTGATAAATTGAACAAATCAGAAACGATTAAAGTCGGGGCTTTCCAAGCATACATTGGGCTCGATGGGTCTCAAGAAGATTTGCAGTTGCCATCAAACAACTATTTTTGGTTCAAAACTTCTGATGTAAATGAGTTTGATAAATATTTAAGGTGAAAGCTGTTGCCTCTCATTGTTGGCGAAACTACATTTTGCATTTCAAGGCTGTATTTTTTAGTCTTTCACCAGAAGAAGCAGTTGATTACGGTTGCCCTCCTATTATTTACATTTGTTTTCCGTCTGCTAAGGACCCCGATTGGCATAAGAGACATCCAGGTAATCAGTTAACATTAAAAAACTAAAAGCTAATAAATAACTGATTAAAATGGCTTAGGTGGGTACTATAAAAATTTACCTTCCCAGACTCCTCGATGACAAAAAATTTACTCGCTACTGTCAAAGCTTTTTTTAATAACCTTACTGCCATGAAAATGAGGTCATAAGTCGTCTAAGACAAGATTCCATACTTTTAGAAATGTTACTTTATGTAGCTTTTTTAGGAGTCTCAACATGCCAAATAATAACTCAAGTAAACCCATCGTGGTTTGAAGAGTATATGGATAAGAGTGGTAAAAGAACTCAGAAGAGGATGAATAAAGAAGACTATACGCGACTGAAAGAAATGATTGGGAATACTTTAATAGACTGCTTAATCAAAAATTTTCCCGACATTTCAAACAGAGTAATGCTTTTAAATTATGCCAGTTACTTATCTGACCGAAAAGGTTTTTATCTCAGCATTTACTCTTCATTTATAAGTCAAAAAATAGGTGGTTGTTTCTGGGGAGTCTAAACAAAACCTTCAAGATTAATTCTTATTGACAAACCGTCTGCAGATTGCATACATAAACTACTCGTCTCCGCTAACTCAACAGTATTACATGCAAAACAATCATGGAGAATTATACTCGCTAACCCAACAAGTGGAAAGATTTTTACCTGATGTGTGGTCGGAACTGAGGTGCAAGACAGACATTCGTGGACTGTATTTTTCAGGTAACATTTCAAACATTCTTGCTGCCACCGTCTTCAAAGTGATTTCTGACAATGAATACATATTTAGGACAGGATGTCTTTTTCTGTGGAGTCAGCAGCGCTTACATGAACGGTCTTCTCACAGCGAGCACTATTCTGGGAGTTGACCTACGGAAGCAGTTGCGGGAAGCAGTAAAGAAGCAACAAAATTATGGGACTTCTGAGTCGACTGAAGTTAAAGAGAATAAATAGAAACAGTTGTATCCAACTATAAATTTCTAAAGAAAGTACTTTTTGATAATGGAAATAGTAGTCAGGATGCTAGTGTAGCACAGTAGATACGTAAACTTTCATCCCACTGAGTCTCCCTGAAACTAAAAAGTAAGTTCCAAAAGATATGAAGTAACAGCTCGGTGATGTAGGAAAAGTGCAAATTGGAAGGAACGATCATATGCTATTGCATTACAATCCGGGTGCTGGAGCAATAATGAATGTAGGGAAAAACGCTGGGCAAAGATTTTGGTCTGGAAAATAGTTCTTGAATGGAACGCTGCATATAGTTAATTCACCTTCCTTCTGGAAACGGCAGGACTGGCAATCAGTTATGTAAGGCTAGGAAATCTAATATAACCAGAAAGTATATCTGAAAAAGATGTTCACAACAAAATATGAAGATACATTTATCGAACAAGTTTTTTTAACTGGATATGCGCCCCAACCGCTCGAGTCCTTCGTAGGTTCGAACTAGGACGAGAATACGCATACTAGGAGACATTAAAACTATAACGAGCGGCACAGAAGTTAATGGTACTTCTGTAACCTTATGACATGTGATAAAGACATATTTTACATGACAAGTATCGTATTTGGCGGCCAAGAACTATCACAGTAACTTAGGAAATTACAACCAGTAGAAATACGGAGGAATTTTTTCACATGTGTTGTTGGAAGGATCTGTAAGGTTACAGTTAAAAGTAAAAAATTCTTAAAACTGGAACTGGACATACAGAAAATGAAGGGGGAAAAAGCTAAATTTAATGTGCAATTTGTTCATACAACAGAAGGTTTTCCAGTTCCATAACCTGTAATATTGTTTCTGCCATACGTTTTGGAATAAGCGGAGAAAATCCATATTAATCAGCAAAACAAGAATAAAATGTGGATTTTGTCTACTCAATTTATGAACATCTTCAAAAATAGCAAGGAAGTGGCGACGAATGTCTTAAGTGTTGGCCTGCGGCTCGATTATAACTGGAGGGCGGTCTGACACTGAATCAGTGAAATTTGAAGGGGAAGCATTAGTCACAGAGTCATCATTGCCTGACTCTTCGTTGTCGATTAAACGTTCCTCTTCTTCGGAGCGCTTCTAAAATGGAAAAACTTTGGCGCTTTTCAGATCGTTGAACTCAAAAAACTCAAAGAACAAGAAAATATGGAAATGTTTTTGCTTTAACATTAAGATTAAATCTTGCGCTTACTTTATAATATCGACTATATACTGAAGCCAGTCCCAATGAGACTAGTAACAGTGCTCCAAGAGAAGTCAGAACGATTCCCGCAATATATGTCTGAATTTTCCAATTTTACGCAGCATCAAGAAATGAAATTAAAATTGAAATTATAATAATAGTTGAAGACAAACCGTCTTTTGTATAACAGCAAGTACTCTCAGCTTATCGCGAGTTCCACTGTCGAAAAGAACTGTTTCATTGAACCAAAGAACTGGCACTATCATGTTGTGCATTTTATTCACAACCCTTGAAACATTGAGAAATAAAGGAAATGTAGTAGGTCGAATTAACATCCATGAAAACCTTTTTTGATTTATGAATCAATATGAGTCAAAAATCCTACTTCAGGTTCCCTTGTAACATCCCAACGTTGATTTGGGAACGCTGATTTACTCTTAATACCACTCCGGTATTCTGAATGAAAATAAAGTGCAACAAAATAAAATAACCAAAATGAAAATATGAAGCTATTTGATTTTGGTCCTGAAGATGAGAGAGAAAATGACCACAGGCTTCCTCTAGAAGGCTATAACAAGATATAAGCTTACTGGTTCTAGGTCAAACTGTGTCTCATCGACTTCCTCTGACGGCTGAGTAAACCCATCATAAAACTTGTATACCTCTTCAGGGGAATAGTAAAAATGAGAACCAGATAAGTAAACACGCGGACTTCCAATATATGTAGAACCAATATCCAAGAAACCTTTTGGAAGACATCCGTCTAAAGTAGCCATTAAAGAGGCAAATGGCTATACAGTACAGCTAAATGAAAAACAACCTGGCTGTGTAAGATTGTCGAAGAATGTAGGAGTTTCAGGACTGCAAAACCCAGCGTTTTCCGGCTCCTTAGGGTCATAGAGTTCAGGAGGCATTATGTATCGCCATGCTGGAATACCTTCGACTTCGACCTTTTCTTTATACCGCAAGTAAATTGATCTATAATGTACAGTTCAAAAACTTCCATGTTTGCTGAATAACATTAGAAACATAATTAACTGCCTTTTAAAATCAATTTACACCCCAGTTTTATTTAAGAAATTTAAATCGATATTAAATTAAAAAGTTTACTAAGGCTGACTGTAATTGGTACTTGAAATTATGCCACCCCGTAAAAGGATAACCAAACTTCAAAAGCAACCAATAAACCAATTCAGTCTTATGAAAGAAAATGTCTCGCTTTGATAAAGTGTGAAACACCTGAAAAATGAAGAAAGGGAAAAAACACCATTAAAAAAAAATTAAAAAACTTCAACCTTTTCAATTGACCAAGAAACATGTATAAGCGGTCTGAAACGGATAGGCCGGGAGGGAAAATTTGGTCCGTGCCATTTATCATTCGAGCTTCAGTGGAATGCCACATAGAGTCAGGAAGTTTTGTAGCACCATTATACTGATACACTCGTCCTAGATTCGTTATATTAACCAGGCCAGTATCAACCAGAAGCTCTCCGTAGTCCTTTCCGTTCTGCTGGAAAGTGGAAAGTTATTCATGGAAAAAGTACTGGTGAAATTTGAAGAAAAGCCTGCAAAATGATCAAGAAATTTCTGAACCGTACACCGTAAAAAAATCCCATTTTTTTGGGAATGTTACCCGCTTCGCAAACAGACTTCAGATAGGGTAACTTGCACACAGCAGCTATTATTGGATCTTCAAACCCATCAAACATTATCTGAAATGGTTCTTAAAACTTGAAAGACTCAAAAATATGACAGAAATAGAGAAAGCAGGTCTTCTTAAATGATAGCAGAGAAGAAGACCTGTAAAATAGAAGAAAGGGAAAACAACCAAGTCTACCAATTAAAAAAAAGTATTTCATATGAAGAGTTACGATGTAACTATAAGGATGACAAAGAATGATCCAGCCTGGCAGCCTAGGATACAACACCGTTACAATAAAACTGTAAAAAGAAGTTAATCTTTTCAGATATCAACATACAAAAAGAATTACCAATAATATATTTACCTCTCTAACTGTGGTGCTGATAAAAGGCGTCTCTTTGAATTGACTAATAATTAGTTCGATTGCTTGCCTTGCAAGTGCGACTTTGACTCTGTTCGCAATATCCACAACAAACTGTAAGAACAATTCCTGCTTAAAATCTTCATATTGCTTTAAATGGCCCATAAAAAGTAACCATGAAAACCTTCCAATCCAATTTATACTAAACATCTTCAAAAAATTAAATGACTTCTAAAATTAAGTTGACCTTAAAAAAATTGAGCCTTTATGACGGTCCAGAAAATAAGAAAGAAAACTGGCCTGAAAAACTGGGCTAGGAATAGTAACTTTATCTGCAAGGCTGCAATGGCTACAAGAAAGCGAGGAGTTATACAGATAAGACTGATTGTTACGGTACAAAACTTGAGTATCGTTGTACATAAACACCACCTTCGTCTTCTTCTGATGTTGGCTAAAATAGACAGTCATGTTGAGGTAAAGGAAACAAATCTAGAGAGTTGTGTCCTCAACTTTCAAAAAAAGACAGAAATTTTGAAAAATAACGTCCAGCATAACGATAGAATTAATAGTGGCACAGGTGCAGAAACTTTCACGAAACTGTAAGAGAGATAATAAAATCAGAGGAACCTACATAAATGTGTAAGGACCTTTCTCAACCAGTTTTGGGAAAGAACCTTTTCTTATAACATCTTCCACATTTTCTACGGAGTAAATCCACACTTGCAACGCCATAAAGTAAGGTGGTTCAATCCATTTAAGCGTCATTTCATTGTAAGAGCCATTTTCAGAATAGCCAAGATATGACCTCTAAAAACAAACGCAAACTACAGATCAGTAAAACTTCTTAGAGATAGTCATATATTTGAGAACAGTTCAAATTGTTTTAACTTATTGCTTTTTTCACTGTACGGTCTTTTAAAATCAAAAAGTGTTTGTAAAACACCTTTTTATCAGTTCCCCATCTGTTTACTTAAGCTTAGAGTATAGTTGTTCAGCATACACGGTTTTTTGTTAATAACGAATCTTTTGACGATGAACTGGAGAGATAAGGGCAATCAAAACTAGATATTATGCTCAAACCCTATAAACACCGGTATATTCGCAAAAAATAGATGGTAAAAAAAATTAACGCACTGTTACATTAGCTATAGGACTCTACGAAAATACTTCATTAGATCAACATAAAATAGAGTAAATCTAGTAAACGAGTAACAAAAGAGTTAATCCGTTAAAAAATACGTCAAAGGAAAGTTATATTGGAAGAATCATTCACAATTACAAAAACTTTTAGAATCACTCTTTCAAAAAATTTCCGGGACAAATACTGATGAAAGTGAAGCCGCTAAAAATAAAGAAGGTGTTAAAAACATCATTTTACTGTTTGTAAAACATCAAAGAACTAAATAAATGGTAAATAAGTGCAGTAACCTCTGCAACTTGTTTTCTGACTATGACTGGAAATACTGTTAGGATAATAGGTCCCGCTATTACTAGAATTATTCCAATAAAGGCAATCAACACTTCGATCACTATGTATCCGTTCATCCGTCGTTAGTCCGAGGTTCCAGAATATAACAAACAAAACCGCAACTACAAAAAACAACACTGTCATAAAAAAACTTACAAATTAAACTGCAACGACCTGAAGACGCAATAAACAACTGTAGTTGTATATATACATTTGAAACGATTATAGATAACTGGATTATAAATGGAAAAACTGTATTTCTAAGGCCAACGAGAGTTGCTTTATTTCTAAAAACAATTTCATATTAGTATTATCAACTGTAACTGCAAATCTGTGATCAGCAATCATTTCCAGTGATACATGAAGTAAGGCAGCTTAAAGGCTCAGAAACCAATATCGGCAACAAACGATTAAATAACGGCGTCGACAGATCATCGAAAGATAATAGTATGTATATGTATTTCAGTGACAAATAATTTCCCCTCAACACTCCATATATCAGATATGACTAATAGAGGGAACGCGATGACTCATCTTTTAAAACTATAACTCCCATAACTGCAATGCTGAAACGGTTAACGTTGATTTATTTGGTATATCACAGGCAGAAGCTGAAAATTGATATCTTGTTCAATAGCCCTATTTTTCAAAACAAAGGAAAGATTAATAGAACAAAACAGTTACACACAATTAATGGTCTGAGTTAACGAGATATTTGTCACAATAGAGGGAAGTTTATCTAACTGACTGAGCGATACTGATAGGTAAATAGTTGTTATGTCAGTCACAAATTCCGTGAAAAGTAAATGTGAATCAGAAAAATTGTAAAACTAATCAACTGTATTGAAATAAAAGTGATACTAATAATAGTGCAGATTCAACTTTATAAACCATAGCCATCGTTGACAAAAAAATACCGAAAAACCACCAAACAAAGCTACTGTTTTGAGAGAATCATAATGCCTCTTCGTTGCCTATAACTATAAACAATCATCGACTAAACATCAGTCCAGCAGGCAGATACAATTTAGTCAGAGACCTACTGTTATACAGAAATCAAATGATGAACACCTGTTAAGCATACAGATGATGAGAAAGACCAACAATTTCTACCTATCAGTTGCTGGACCTGAATTGTTGCTAAACGTTAAGCAGATTACCCGAACCCCAGTCCAGCAGTACCACAAAGTTATTGGTTTTTTGCCAACAGCAGCAATTGTGGCGAATATCAGCTGAAGGCGCGTATCTAAGGTACTACTGCTGCTGCTGCTGACCGAGTGGCATTTTTCAGTCAGTTGTTTACAGTTTTCAAATGGTCTACCGGAAGATAGTGATGCTGCTGCTATTAAAACTGTTAATGTTGGCATAATTTAATCAGTTATCTGGTGTAGCGTAAATTAGACAGAATATTTAAGACGTCAGTTTATTGTCCAGGTATTTTAATTTACAAAAAATTTTAAAAGCAAGGTATATCTCACAGTTACGACTAATCGCTGCTTTATGGCACTGTTTTTCTGGTACATTTATGTATCTGGTGAACAGCATTTAACACTATCAAATTGTAGAACTGAAGTTTTTAGGAAGTACAGTTTATGGATTCATCGAACTATGGCATTCCTTGGCATTCGGCTGTCAGAAATAAAAAATATTTGCACTGTCTACCATATTGGCAATATAATTTTTTCTTTATCTTTCTTTGTTGCAAAAACTTTTCCACCGATATGTACTCGTCTTTTTGGAATTGAAGAGGACTTATGTGCACTTGATCGGGTAAATTCCTTTTCTGTTTTTTTTTTTTTTTTTCTCTGATTATCTTGTCATCGTAAATCGTTTTTTATAGCTTTCAAATTTATTAAGTGAATTTTTCTCAACTCAACTTGACAATAATTTTATGATAAAATTTTTATTTATTTGCTGTTTATAGAATGCAGTTTACGTTATGATTAAGGAAGTTTTTTTGAAATTTATGCGAAAAATTTCTTTTTTGGCTGATTAGGGAAATTTTACTTAAGCATCACAATTTACAGTTTTCGTCTCTTTTTTTTTCCATCTAATTTACATTGCAATTTTTTTCCCATTAATATGGCTTTGTTTAATGATTACTACATGAATTTAATGAACAATTTCAAGGGTCTAAAAGTTTCAAAAAAAAAAAAAATAGTAACGTCACTCTAGTTGAACCTAAGCTATTTTTAGCGTGAACACGAGATAATGGTATTCCTCGGTGTGGTCATCATTTGGAAAAACAGGAAAGCAGTGAACTGGTTGCATTATATTGCTAATGTATTTTTTTATTCTAAGTTGGCCAATATTTATCTCTTTTTGAGGGCTGATATCCTTGTTGGTACGATTTATGGTATAATTTTACTCAGTAAGTTATTTTGATTTCCTTTACATTCGTCCCAGTGTGTTATGTTTTTAACCCTAAATTTGATGCAAAAGTTCCTGATCTAATGTTTTTACTCTAAAACATTTTTTGATTAGAATAAACTACCAAAATATGCCGGTTTAGCGAAGGGAAGCATTTTAATAAAGATCATCGAAGAACACTTCTTGTTGAAATTCTAGACAGGACCGAAAAGTGAGGAGAAAATGACAAAAAATTTGGGTATTGGGTTGGCGGGGTTCCAGGTTCCTCCTAAAAGTATAACTTGTTAGGAAATGTTTCTCTCTATATGACATTAGTTTCCGTAACTCATATGATCCTCGTTTTGGCCTAGTTAATGCTTTTGTACCTCGTGCTCTGCTAGAATCGAGGCATCTATTTATAAGTATCGCTGCAATTTACTTTTATTTCGACGGTTTAATCAGTGATTCTTCTTTGCTTTTCCATCGAACAGAATCTCCGCAACTTTGAGCTTTATCAAATAGCGCCCTGCAATTTTTTCCGGAAATTTCGTATCACCTTGCGTAGTTGTGTATAGTCTCAAATAGTACAAATGGTACAAAGCAATCGATAGTAACCCTTTGAAATTTTTGGAAAACATGTAGTATTAAATAAGTTAGATTTTCATTTGTAAAAAGAATAATCAGATGTAATCTGCTGTTGGTGCTTTTGACAGTGATTTTGTGATTGAAATTTGATGGAATTTCTTTAAATGCCATAGTTTATTATGAAGGAAGTTCTTTTGCGAAATTTTTTTGTTTTTGTAGTTTTTTGTAGTTGTGTTCGTTTATAGGGACATTATGATTTTTTTCATTTGTATCTGTCCTATAAGTGCTTTTTCTGCTACGCTTCCCTTCTATTCGTTGTCGCTGTCTCAAAGTTCATGAGTTTCATGCCATTATTTGTTGTATGTGGTAAATGGCCATGCTTTTTCCCTTAAATTTTACTAAAGATGTCTAATTTCATGGAACTTTGCAGTTCATGCAGTTCTTTATCCTGAGCCGTTGTATAAAGGACCTGAGGTCATAACATATTTTAAAGGGACGGATCTACACGTATGTCATTTTAAAAATTTGTTCAGCCACATTCATACATTTCATTGATTTATCTCTTAGTAAAATTTATTCGAAAGGTAATAAATACATATGTTTTAAGAAAACCTTTTTTGGAGAACTAATTTTTTTTATAGGAAGAAATAGAAAGAAATAAACGAATTACATGGATAGTTCAGTTTTATACGACGTGGTCTTCGGAGTGTAAACATGTGAGCGCTGTGTTTTCAAATTTAAGCGAAAGGTTTGATTTTTTTTTCTAGCCTTCGACCGAGATTTTTAGATTGGCTTTCTTTCCGTAGGACAAGGGATTTTTTTTCGGTTTTATGCCTTTACATTATAGATTTAATCTACCTAACTTACGCTTTGCAAAACTGGATATTGGTAGATACCCCAAAGAAGCAGAAACGTTTCGTATTAATATTCATCCAGCTAGCAGGCAGCTACCAACGGCAAGGGCATTCAGAATTTTTTAACATGTTTTGAAAATTAATGCTTTAACCAAAAAAAAAGTTTCACGCTAAATTTCATGTGTATATTACCTGTTGCTTATGAATTTTCTTCAGTGCTTCATTAGTTGCTCATTTTTGAGGCTCACTAAATCTGCTGTTTTATGGCAGAAAAACGATTTGAGAGGAAAAACCTGATTTTGCTGAGGAAGAGTAGCTGGTCCTGTTTTTGTGTCGTACTTTTTTTTTTAAATTTTCTCTAGATTTTAAGAGTTTATAAACTCGTCATCAGCATTTACTTCTTTTTGCAGATCTCACTTTTCCAAGAGGGTAAAGAAGTTATGAGGAGACCGATTGTTCAAAACAAGCGTGTAGTCCCCTTCACTTTTACCGAAGTAACTTTTTTAGTTCAATTTTAATACTCTTAAAAAAATTTTTTTTGGTTTAAAGATTTTTAAATTTTACGCATTATTTAAAAACTTGAAATATATGCAGTTGTTTTAAAGAATATTTTACTAGTTGTTTTATTTGTCTCTGTTACTGTTGTTGCCTTTGCGAGTTAATTTTTCTGGTAAATTTTTTTAGTTTTAACGCTTTCTCCACTTCGAGTAATATACAAATTTTTTGCACTTAAATTCAGTTTAGTAATATTTGCTTTGAATTTTTTACTTGATTCTACTCGTCACAGTAACATCATTGTTTTCAAAACCTAACTTTTTCAGTTACCAATTTTCAAAGTTATGAGTAGTATTTTGTAAAAAATGTGTTTCATTCTTCTACTACGTATTAATAAGGCTTTTTTCAATATTGAAGGTAGTCTAAACTGCTTTGAAAAGAATTTTGCGAAAGTATAGTTTGCGGTGAGCATTGACAGAATTTTTAAAAGCTTTATTTTTCAAAAAAATTTTGAGGGTTTGGCTGTGATGGGTAATGAATAAAAGTTTTCTTGTTTTGTGGTAATTCAGTGCTTTATCTCTGTATTCTTATTTATTTTTAGGAGAACATAATACTGGAGTATAATCTAAATAATATCTATCAGGATTGCAAATCTGATTTTTCAAAGAAAGGGAGACGTTTATCGAGAAAGAATTCAAAAAGTGAAGCTAAATCATCAAGCAAAAAGACTGATTGAGTCCTAAATTAAAAGCTTTTTATTCTTTTGTTTGGAAATATTGTTAATGAAATCTCATGACCTATTCCCTTGCAACTCGAGTAAAATACCAAAAACCATTATTTTTGGATTATGGTCTATTGTACTTCTTCTTATATTTTATAAATTTTTCAGCTCTTTTTATCTATGACCTCGTTGATCAGAAAACAAAAGCGTAATGGTTGTTGAAGCATTCTTTTCGCTTTGTATATTTCTGTATTTCAGATTTACTCTTTCGTATTTGATCACGGAAGTTTAAATAGTGTTAATTTGGTGCTGTTTGGAGTTTATTTGATGCTCCAGTTCATTTTGCAGCTAAAGTTTTTTAAAAATCTTATTTTAGGAACAAATTTTAAATCTAGTTTTATTCAACTATGTGTTTTAAATGGTAGTGTCGTATGAGTTTTGAACGTTGAATAAAGTCTTTATTTCTTCATAGAGAGAGGTTTGTTCTGCAATTAAGATATATACTGACATTTTTTTTTTGACACTGGTTTAGTAGAGTAAGGACTTGGGTAAATTTAGGCTATCAGTTCACTATTCCAAGGAGAGAAGAATTTTAGACTGTTTTTGATGTAGTGATTTTGGAAGTTTCCAGTTAGTCATACAAAGCAAGAACAAGTAAGGATTTGATGAAGAAGATCTGGAAACTAGTCATAATCGGATAATCGTTGAATTAATAAGATAATTCATATTGCAAATCGTTATTAGTGGGTTTATTGTTATTGCCTCAAAGTTTTTCGTTTCCCTATTGTTTGATTTGGTGCAGTGTTTGAAAATGTGGCTGACAATTTAAATGGCTGCCAAACTAACTTGTAGTAAACGTCTTACAAAGTGAAGTTACAGGTCTGAAAGTAATCGGAGGAAAGTTCAAAATTTGAAAGAGAAAAAGCAGTTGTAGTGGAGGTTTTTTACAAAATTTTGGCAGAGAATGTTGACCTTTGTTCTGGTGGTTGTCTATAAGTAGGCGTTGTGTTTTTTCGAGTAGAATGTCATACATAACATCTCGTAAGGTGCATCAGTACGTACTTGTCAATAAGCTTCAACAATTATATTTTTGTTTTTTCTTTTTACTTTAAAAAAAACGTTCAATAAGGGTTTGAAAGAAAAATTTTCTTGTTATTCTCCAAAACAATTTTGGATAATTATGGGGAAGAGCGATAAGAACAGCAAATAAGCAATTGTTTACTGCTTGATGTTTTCAAGAACAGTGTGTTATTGTTTTTAGTTCTAAGCAATTTTAAATTTTTTAAGTTTATAACTGATTGAAAAGTACGTATGGATTGATTTGTTGTGAGGATGCACTTTTGATCCTATGATGCTGTGTATGGCTTCCTGTTTTTAACTGTTTGAGGTAATTTGGATAAGATACTGAGTACGAAAAGAAGTTTAAGAAAATGGTTGTCAAAGGTCTTGAAATGGCGGTAACTAGTTAATTGTTCCTGGTTGACCACTAAATAAAGGTATGGCAAGTGGGCAGAGGTAACTATAAGGGGTTTGGATTTTTTTGTGTAATGCAGGTGAGAAATGTGTAGAAATACAAATTTTTCTGAAATGTCATCAAACGGATTAATAAAGATACTCTTTTTTGTTTGCTAAAACTGTAGAAAAAAAGAGCGAACGTATTACTGTATCGCCTAGTTGATGAATTAATGTTTGATCGTCTATATATATGAAATCATACATTTTTGTTCGTGATTCGATAACTGGCAAGATGTTTTTTTTTTATTTTTGTATTGTCTTGTTTTCGCTTTTTTG